GACTGCATTGTAGAGGCTCCTGAATGCTTGGCTGAGTTCAGGCATGATTTGGAAAATACATTATCTTTTCTTTAATAGTCATCAATAAGAAGGTAAAAGGAGCAAGAGTTGTTAGTGGAGAGACATGGGGCCTCCAGAACTCAGACTGCCCTTGCTGGGACTCTGAGAGCATCCCACATTATCCCTTTACCAGGTTATAATGGAAAGGGGAATTTGTAGCAGTGATGCTCTTTGCAGCAGCTCCCAGGAGGGGACAGCTGGATTGTATAGGGACTCAGGCAGGAGCTGAGGAGGGGTGAAACAATGTCTTTTCTGAGGACACTTGCCTCTTCCAAGACCGCAGGCCCAGCAGCCCAGCCTGGGTTCTTCCTCCAGATCTCTGGCCCCTAATCCAGCCCCATTTCTCCAGGCTTGGTGGCCTGGTGCCCACAGGTGTAATTTGTGTTTCCTGCACATTTACTTCTGTTAGATAAATGAAATTCCTGCAATTCCCCTCATGATATCCTGAAATAGATCTCATGCTTTCTATATATGTGATGACTAATCCTGTGAGATTTCTGATGTCTTAGAAGACATTCCTTTGTCCTCAGAGGCATTTCACTGAATTTTTGCATTCCTTCTTGCCAGAGAAACTAAAGCAGAGGATGGTAGCTTTCTCTGAAGTTCTCAACTTTTCCTTCCTTCCTTCCTGCCTGCCTGCCTGCCTGCCTGCCTTCCTATGCCTGTTTACGTGCCAGGCACTGTTCTAGGTACCAGCGATACTGACCAAAATTAAAATTTCTGCCCAGCGGAGCTTACATGTCTAGTGGGAGAATAAATGAATGAATGAAATGTTTGGTGTGTCAGAAGGTGTTAAATGCTGTGAACAATTAGTAAGAGGCGGGGGAGTGAGGAGAGTGGCATGGGGATGGGGGAAGGGCGCACCTTGTCGTCTTACGTGGAGGTTCTGCGACGGGCCTTCGGAGAAGGTGACATGGTGCTGAGAGATGACTGGGGAGCCCTGCGTTAATTGGGGTGACCAGCAAAAAGATTATTCATTACCTTCTCACGGCAGACAATGGTGGCAAAGCTGTTCATTTAATTCTTGATTTTTAAATGTTGCCTGTGAGTTACTGTCAACACTGCCAGTCCAATCCAACACATCTGTGAGCTACTGATTTTTAGGCTGTCAGCTGGGCCTCCCTGGCTTGGCTGTCAGCTATGCTGTTTATCTAAGGACTCAAGAGTTCTCCACTGGATCACGTAGAGACTCAAACATCACAGCATCCCAAGGGGTGTGTTTAACAGTCTTGCCGCTCTTTGGAGAGATGAATACTTTTCAAACTGGAGATGGCAGTCTCCTGGGTTTTGAAAATTCTTTGTGAGATATTTATGTTTTAGAAATTTGATTTTAGCAATAATTCTTAGAAATTTCTCATAAAGGAATCTAGATCATCTAGAGGACTCCCTTATCACCGAGTACTGGACATGACTTCAGGGCAATGTGTCTGTCTTTGTTTGCTGTCACCAATAAAAACGTTAAGACCTCAAGCCTTGCTGAGGTTTGGCTACAGAGACAGAGGGAGGGACAGGTGGTCTTACCACACTGGGTAGAACATGCTTGTAGCACACAGAGCACCTGGGCTGTGCAGTCACACCCACACTCGCCAGCCAGTATCCATGAGCAACAGTCAGTTACCACCACATGGGGAGTGAGTAGCCAGTGAAGAATGTGCATGCTCCCAGTGCAGCAATATTCAGACAGAACCCCTGTCTAATGCAGAACTCAACAATGCTCTGATGCTCACTTTGTCAAGTGAACAAGAGAGAGTTGTGAACTAGTGTATTAAGATGGGCATTCAAGGACCAGTTGCTGACAGTTTTAAGTTTGAAGACTGATTATACTAAACTTGCAATGAAGCCTTAGAATTAGTAATCTGTTTTATACTTCATGCTTTGTGCTCAGGCATTTTCTGCATGGGCATAATGGAAGTCTAAATATGAAAAATGAAAACAGGCTTTCAGATCTAAAGGCTTCTCATACTGTGAGCTTGAATTTGAGCAACATAATATTCACAACTTTAAACTAATGCAGCATTAAGTGAATGTAAAAGAATCAGTATCTTCGGGGTGTTTTGGCTTGGTAGGGATTTTATATTTAATTATAAATATGTGTTAACCTTAGTAATTCAAGAGCTTTAGTAGATTAAAGTGTTTTTTACTTGGCATGTCAGTGTGTACAATAAGCAGTATAATAAAAATTGTCATTAATATTTATTTTATTTGTTTTGTCCCTTTTAGGAACAAATTTAGTATTTGAAGATGAAATCACTGCATTGCAACTTGAAGTGGATAAGCTAAAGACTCTAAATGTGAACAAAATTATTGCACTGGGACACTCTGGTTTTGAAATGGATAAACTCATTGCCCAGAAAGTGAAGGGAGTAGACGTCGTGGTGGGAGGACACTCCAACACGTTTCTTTACACAGGTAATTATTTCAAAAGGATTATACCAGCCGAGATGTCTATATAACTTACTTTGTCTCTTTTGCCTTTGCAACTATCATTGTTAATTTTTCTACTATTTAACATATAACGTATATTACACATATTATACAGTATTACACATATTGTATAATATTGTATACTGTATCATATGTGTAATATACGTTATATGTGTGTAATATACATTGATTAGTGTAATACTGTATAATATGTGTAATATACGTTATACGTATGTAATATACATTGATTGGTAACGTGTAAATCTTACTCAAAGAAACATTACTAAGAATAACTTATAGGTAATATACAACATATGAATAAAAAATATGTATAAAACAAAAAGATTACTGAGCCCCAACCACAAGTCCATTAACATCAAAAAGCAACTTGTCATATTAAAATTTTTCAGCATAAACAAAATACTATAAATAAGGCCTTCACAGGATTTGATTTGTAGGTTCATAGGTAGCAGGAGCTGGGACCCTGGGCTCAAGTCCTGACTCTATTGCATACCAGGACAGTGAGTGTCCTGGAGTCACACCACCCCTGGCACTCTGGAGCACGCACACTCTCCCCTCCTTCCCCTCCCACCTTGTTCTCCCCTTCTCTCTCTTCTTCTCGCCTGTCCTTCCTCACCCCTCTCCCTCCCTCCCTTTGTCCACATAAGAAACGTCCAAACCTACAGAGAATTTTTATGAGTTTATTCAAGCCAAACTGACGACATGTGCCAGGGAAAAGATCTCAGGTACTCCACAAAATAAAAGTTTTGTAGTTTCTCTCATGCATTGCATGGAAAGAGCAAGGCAGGGATTGAATGACACATAGTTAACAGGATTATGTGCTCTCCTGTGGGTTAATACTCCCTTGGAGGGGTATTGCTTCTGGTATTTTAAAGGTGTGTTAACCTGGATGCACAAAAACAGCGAACAGGACTGGCTTAAAACCTTTCCTTAAAGAGTTATAGGCCTGGGGCGTGACTACCCACCATGGCCTGCCTGGTAGAGAATTTATGATCAGATCAGCCTGTGAGGTTACTTTCCGTAGAGTCCCCTTTTTAATCCATACCTTCCTCCCTTTTCCCTATCTTTCCTTTTCCCTCCCCCCAAAAGAGATTATCACTGATAATCTCTTACGACGGGCAAGGCTCCATCTCCTCTCCTTTCTCCATCACTCTCCTTGCCTTCTCCCCTTCCCCTTCCCTGCTTTTTTCCTCCATCCCCCTCTCTCCTTGGTGTTAGGTAGTTTTAGTTAGAAAAACCCTTTTTTTAAAAAAATTTTTAACTCATAATGTCCCAAAACTTTTGAGTTTGGCTCAGTGAATCTTTTTCACTATGTCCCCCTCCCCCATTACATGGAGCTTGGAAGTATTTTCAAGAAAAGAGCCTGGCTGGTAACTGATTTTATCAGCACTGGGAAGGAAGGCTTTGTGGGGGAACAACCCTCCCCTTGAATAGGTGGCCCCTTCGTACATCTCTCTATATGAGCTATCTAAGGCAATCCTACTTTTACAAAAGCAAAAATAGAAAATACCCCAAATAGTAGAAAATACCCAAAAATGTTTAAAAAAAAGGGTTATTGCTAAGAAAAATATGGGGTAAGAACAAACCTCTCTACCCTCAAGATTCCTTTGGCTCATCTAATAATCAAATAGACATGAAACAAATTAGCAAGTGAGAATGACCAAATTTAATACATACGTACATATGGGAACTCTGCATACTTGAGAGAGTCAGAGACTTTACGTGCAGGAGAGGTTTAGAGATAGAAAGGGAACGTGGGTATGTGAGACATCCTGAGCTAGGGATGAGGTAAGGTGCCTTGGGGGCTTCAAAGGGTCCTTGCAGAGAGATAAGAGGAGATGTTTAGCAAATAGAAGTTTGCCCTGCCATGTAGGTGTGTCAAAAGAGGTTATCGCTGATAATCTCACTATGGGCAAGGTCCCCAATTCAAGTTCTCCTAGATAGTTAAGGGACTGGAAGAAGTTTCTCTTGAGCCTAAAGCTAATATTGCTTGTAGCTCAAAATAATCCACTTACCACTGAGGCACATCTTGGGATGGCTCGTTCTGAACCCCACAAAAGCATACAAGTAATTTTTATTTTCCTAGCACCTTTCAGCATTTTAATACAATGAGTGCATGTTGCTTCTGTAATCAGAAAAAGAGATACATGATAAAAAGAAAAATACAAGAGTGGGTCAGGAGTTCTTATTTCTGGTTCACTTGAAAGACCTTGAGCTGGTCACTCTCCCTCTGAATGTACTAGCTTTGCTTCAAAATAAGGATAATAATGCTCAAAGTGCCACATTGTTGTAAAAATTATGTAAGATAGTGTATGGGTGTCAGAGAGGAAGAAACTTTCCTCTACCCTCAAGGTTCTTTCGGCCGGTCTAATAATTAAATCTATCTGAGAGATTAACGAGAAAATAGCCAAGTTATTTACATGTGTACATATGGGAACCCTACATACATGAGAGAGTCAGAGATAGAACGGTCTATGACATTTTGAGCTAAGAATGAGCTAAGGTGCCCAAGCCTTCAGAGGTGAAGAATTTTATTGAATAGCAGGTGTTCAATAATTAGAAGTTTGTCCTGCCCTATACATAGGTGATAAAAAAGTTATTTCTACTGATAATTCTATGGTCAAGGCCCCCAGTTTAAATTATTTAAAGGAGAGGTAAAAGTTTCTCCTGGGCCCTCAGAGTCTCGGTTACCTTCAGTTCAAAATGATCCACAAGCCAGAGTGGTACATCTAGGGGAGGCCTGTTCTGAACCCCTTTAGTGGAAATACTTTATAAATAGCTATATCCTGGCCTATAGTGGTATGGAGACTGTTCATCAGTAAAAACATGCCAATCAGAACTGTCTCGCATGCTGGGGCTGGTTTTCACGTAAGAAAATAATAACAGAATTTACATGGCTAATTCAAACCCTTCACAAGTATTTTGCCGGTGGGGAGACATAGGTTAAAGAATAATTTCAAACTGTATTATACCCATTAGTGGTTGTGAAATCAATGTAGTGGTTTAAAAAAAAGTAGTTTTTTTTTTTTAACAGACTAGATTAAAATAGATTAGGCACTTAAACATTACTCATACGAAGGATATATTGTTTCATGGAAAAAGACTTATATAAAATGATGAGAACAGCTCCAGGCTCATAGCAGGCAATACATAAGTGTGGTGAGGATGATGATGGACACTGACAGTGATGTGAACCTTTTTTTTTTTTTTTTATGTGAACTTCCTTAGTGTGGGCGATGTTGCAGGCAAACATCAGAGAGCCACTTAAGTCACTTCAGAGAGTCAGATAGACTGATTGTGCCAAGAGCAGGAAGCATCCGAGCAGCACTGGGTAGAGTGCTTCGGTGTCTGAGTCTGGCTGTGCCACCAGCTAGGGGTTCGATCCTGCCTCTGTCTGATTTCCCTCACTTGTAGAACGAGGGTGGTGACAACAGTACCTATTATAAATGCTCATTGTGACTTCATGTGTGTAATGAATGGGTGTAGGTGAAGAGCCTCAGAATGGGGGCTAGTATTTTAGCCATTCCTATTTCAGTTATGCCCCAGTTCTGTGGATAAGACCCACAAAAAAACTCTCTCTGGAGCCTTTTCTTAGCTTTTCTTTGGGGCAGTGAGTGTCAGAACCCTAGGACACAGGGCAGAAGCTAGATATCTGCTTCCCACCCCCTCATCCTTTGGAGTAGTGATTTCAAAGGTTTTTGACTATGATCCACAGCAAGAAAGGCATGGCGTGTGTGTGTGTGTGTGTGTGTGTGTGCATTCTCACATAAGCTTGTGCGTATACACACACACTGGAAAAAAAACTTTCACAAAGCATCTGGAATGTATCCTGATGTTTTCTGTTCTACTGTTTTGTTTTGTTTTTTTTGAAGTGCCAGTTACCACCCATTAAATTAATTTCTCCATATTGTAACTTGCCTATATTTTTAAAAACTCAGCCTTAGGTGAGGTATGACTAAAACAGCGCATGAGCAATCACAGGACTCTAACCTTTCCATTCAGATGCTAAAGTCATTCCCACTCCCTAGGGACTTATCTTAACACCATCTTCATGGATGTCCTCTTACAGCACCAGCTAGTCACCCACAGCCTTGGTGTGTGGCCATCAATTAGTGTGCCCTGCTGGGTCTGAAAAGGGCCCGTGACTGTGCCTAGCTTCTCATTAATTCTGCAGCCTGTCTTTTTGTTCCCGCACTTGGTTCCAGCCAATGAAATCCTGCAAAATAATATGTACCTTTTGCTAAGTACATGAATTTATGGTAAATGATGAATGACTAGATGAAAGAAAGATGCATGCATAAAAATTATAATTTGCTTATCCATAAATCTGGAAGCAGATAATTATAGTCTCTAAAAACACTGCCTCTATACAAGCTTAGTCATTTATTTCACATTTTTCGATTACTTACCAAAATTAAACTTGTTCTCATGAATTATTCGATTTTGATACTCATCATTTTGAGGAATGAGTTAAAGAAAAGTAATAAGGTAATTCCAGAACACAATAGGGGATGAGGCATATTTACTTACTTAAGTAAATTTTCCTAGCCTTAAAAACAAAACAAAACAAAAAACCCACCTCCACTGAATTGTTTGAATTGAATTAGCATAAAGTTAAATGTTATTAGTTAATAAAAAAAAATAAGTGAAAAATAATACGTCTCTTGGAATTTTAAGTCTTACTGAGAATCATTTCAGCACACACATAGGACCTGCCACACATACACCTGAAAGAAAACGTCACAGAGCATCTGGATGGCACCCGCTATTTTTTTTGTTTTATTATTTATTTGTTTAATGCTGGTTACCACCTATTAAATGCATTTCATTCTAGGACAGCTAGCTAGCCCATATTTTTAAAAACTCAGCTTTGGTGGTGTGCGGGGGAGATTGAAGAGGGTTAAGGGGGTCAAATACATGGTGACAGAAGGAGACTAGACCTTGAGTGGTGAACACACAATGTA